TGAACGACTGTTTCTAATAACGAGGCTGCTACAGGCGCCAGCCAGCCAGACAGAATAAAAAACAAGGACACCCTGCCTAGGATGTTAGGCCAATGATTGGCCGGGCGAAACACCTCAGCGTCAACCGTAACTACGACGACAACCAAACCACACCCATGAGTTAAGCAAGATGTTTTTTACCGAATAGGACTGACTGACTGACTGACGGACTAGGACATATGCATGCAAGTGTGTGTGGGTGCGTTGGCAGTACCATGATAGTCGATCAATGCACAGGCTGCTATGCAAATATGATGAGGAACGTCGTTAGCGGTCACATGTGCACCAGCACATAGGCAGTCTATGCTAGTCTAAGCGGCCGCCGCAGCCAAGGCCGGATATACGCCACCGGAGGGGTATAGTAGTGGCACAAACGTCAGTGATAGAAGTAAAAAAGCAGACGAATCAAACTTCATCATCATCATCATTGAGAGCGGTGTACTCAAGCAAAGATGCAATGACAGTAAAATCTGGCAGCAAGCGGAACAAAAGCGGCAGCGAAAGCGTTTGTACATGCATGTAAACGGACCTGCCGAAAAGGTTGTTCCTTAAGGCAAATGGCAAAATTTGTTTGACTTTTCTTATCAAAGGAATAGAATGAAAGAATGGAAGGGCGTCTGCCAAGAAAATTTCAGGGGATACTATGCATCTACTCAAGCACTGTCTATGCTCTCAAAGTCCTCTTTTTTTACTAGACAGCAGATGTCTACTGTAACAGAACTTCGGACTAGACTATGATTTTCGGGTGGCGTTCATCGGTCTATTCCGACAGCGAGCATAGTATGGGCCATTTGAATCCACCCTGAAGTTGCGGTCCAGAGGTCAAGCAGGTTGCCGCATAGTCGCGAGCAATCAGTAACTGGGACGAACTGTCTATAAGAACAAGGGGGACTGGAAGGATAATCGCTGGCTTACGCACTATCGTTAAATTGCTGATCCGCGCAGTGGGGACTTGATCAGCAGACGACAGCCTACAGGCTAGCAATGATCATTTCAGTCCTCCCTGTCCCATCAGACCGACAGTTTCAGTTCGACTTTGCGCTATGCAGACTAGCTAACTAGAAAGGCTTAGGCACGCAGAAATCAGGCAAGAC